TGAGCAATTAAACAAGAATTCAATGGCGAACAGATTTATTACATTAGCGAGTTTTTTGATTACTTCTGAAGATCGAATAACAACAATTTGGTTGCGAAGGCACTTTGAAGGCATCTTCCACCTAAATCTTTTGCTGGTGAGATTTTGATGCAGTACAATAAGTGCTGCCCAAGTCCCGCTGTTAAAGTTCTGATCGGCGAGAAAATCTTTCCAGGAGGTGGCTGCGGTAGCCATGCCCATCAACATGGGTAACCTAGAAGAAAAACGAAGCGAGATCCCTGAGTACACAAATGCTGAGAAAGTGTCTTATTTCTATATTGTGAGGCGGAGGTCGACACTACTAGGTACATTGAGTATTGTTTTAGCTCATCACCTTCGGACACCCAAGTTGATGTGTACGGCGAACCCAGCATCAACCAAGTTTAGGGGCATTTAATTTATCACCTCTTGGCATGAAGCTTTTGTAGCTGAACTTGTGTGATGCTTAGTCAGCCGTCACAAAAAAATTGCGGCACTAAACGTGATTTGCTATTGTGCTATTATTACCCTGTTTAAGAAATGTAAACATCTTGGTTTTTGGTCAGTTTCGACTGAGTCATAAAGTGCCACTGATTCGACGGGTCAATGTTAGTCATCCATCACCGTCGATGAACGCTTCAAAAGACGTCGGGCCACGTAGCGAAATGAGAAAAACGATTCGCTCATGTTTTTCTAAACGCAGTACTCGACGGCTGTAGCGGACTGCATCTCCCAATGACTCATCAGTCGATCAAACTGCCCACCCGACGATTTTTCGCTGCTGTCTGCAACGAATATATAAAGGGAAGCTACTTTTCTTCGTCCTAATCCTTCAGCATGTCCTCCGATTCTTCATCCTCGTCGTCATCGTCTCCAGAACCCGATAAGAAGAAGAAGGATAAAGAGAAGAACAAGAAGAAGGAAAAGGATAAGAAGAAGCGTAAGGATTCTTCTTCATCTTCGTCATCTTCGTCTCCACCGCCTTCACCTCCTCGACGTGAGAAGGAAAGGAAGAAAGACAAGAAGAGTTACAAAGAGCGTGACCTCTCCATCTCTTCCTGCTCAACCTGCCGCTCGCCGTCACCGCGCAGAAGAAGAGACAGCAGCGATGAAAGCCCTTCCCGTTACGAAAAGAGGTACCCGAAGCAGAAATCCA